TGACTCTCTTACCTGTCTTTGGCTAACCAATTCAGCGCCTCAGGCAGGAGCACAATTTAGGCTCCGCAATACTCCATCTCCAGGTTGTGGTAGTGGACTTGGATAGGTTGCATTTTTATGGAGTCATCAATTTGGCATTTAAGGAAAGCCATGAGCTTATTAAAGAGAACAGGCCTCAAAGAGGAAACAATCAGTAAACCCAGAATCGGACCAAGTATGAGGAGGCAAAAGGGGAGGAGTCCATTCCATGCAGACCACAAGGGACTGTCATGAACGATGCCAGACTTGTTGGCATAAAAGCAGCAGTGTTCCTGTAAAGCAAGACAGAGACCCCCCTGTTCTGCCAGGAGGAGTGGCGCCAGGATCAAAACCAGCAATGGTAGTGTCGAAGAAGCAAAACGGGATCAGGTATTTAAGAAGGATCTTCATTTTGTTGATCTGGGGAAGGAGAAAGAGATATCTCAGGGCTTTCATCATCCCTGGATGGCTTGTTAGAATCAATCTGTTTGATTAATCTTTCTGGTAGCCAAAGAGCAGATTCATTTTTTGAGAATAGATGCAGAAAGACCCTCTGCCCCAAATGAGGACAGGGTCTGGACCATTCCATATATTGTCCAGAGGATCTTTCCACAATACTGAGGCAAATTTTGTTTAGGTAGTTGAATGCCAGAAGCGCTCAGTGTCTGAGTCTCCATCTTTTTCAAGAGACAGGAAATTTAGGACAAAAAGAGCATGTGCTGAAGGTTTTTTGGTGAGCCCTTAGTCTGTAAGAGCTCTCCCTTTTTTAGCTTTTGGACAGTATTTTTCAAGGTAAGATGAGCACAAAAATTTATCTGGAGGAAAATGGTTATCAATAGTTCCAGTAAAGGAAGCACATGCAATATGCCAGAAATCTGTTTGTTGGAACAGCCCATTAACTTGGTCCTTAGTATATGGCTGGATGATTGTATCAGGATCTTTGCCATATGTCCAGGCCAACCACAATTGAAGCAATTGCCTCCATTACTATGGTTAAGAAATTGGCGAACAGTATATCCTTTAAGAGCAGCGGCCAGAGTCAATCCCTGTTGGTATGCTGACCCAATATCAGAACATAGGTGAATGTATCCTGATAAATCCGTCTTTTTTCTATATGGCCTGGTTACTGCTTGACAAGCAGCATTAGCATTTTCATATGCTAATTGTTTAACAAAATTGGTACCTGCATCAGCACTGCCAAATATTTTCCCTGCTGCAGTAATTAACCAATGAACAAACTCATAAAAAGGTTCATCAGGCCCTTGGTTTTTTGTTGTAAGGGAGGTACTCAATCCCCTCCAGAGAGCACAGCATGGACCAATGTTTGCCAATATATTAGTGTAAGCCAATTTTCTGCCACCGAGTCAACTATGGCTAAAGTATATGGAGCTGTAGCTCCATATTGAGCAACTGCTGTTTTAATTTCTTTTATAATATTAAAAGCAAAGGCACATAGGTGGCGCCATGCTTGTCCTTGTGGATCTGTGGTTTCTGTTACTAGAAAGGCTTCCTGCCCCTCAAAATCTATCGATGATTGTAGTTTTTGAACTGGTTTAAGTTTCGCACCATCAGTAAAAGTGGGCTGGTGGTGATTCCACGAGGAATCTGCACTTTTAGATTTACCCACTCTCATTTTTCCAATTGTGATATTAAGTCTTGATGTTTCTGCTCTAATTGAATTTGTTCTTCAAATTGTCTAACTTTACTCAAAATTTCTTTCCTAGGGTCAATAACCAGCATCACCAAAGCTGATACAGATGCGACCAAGTTGTAAGATGGCAGTAGTTTTTTGAAAGGTGGCCATTTTGAATCATCGTGTTTGACTGCCTTTGTTTCTAAAGTTTTTTGTTCAGACGGCCATTTTGGGTTACTGCACATGGCAGTCTTTGTTTCTAAAGTTTTTTGTTCAGATGGCCATTTTGGGTTATTGCATTTATCAGCCTTGGCCTCTAGGATTTCCTCCTCTAAACTAGTTGATGATTCATTTTTCTTTGGCTCTTGTAGAGCCTTAAGGTTGTTTTACTTTTTTAGTTTTTTAGATTTTTTGGGTTTTTTCTCACTTTCGGGGCTTTTAACTTCTTCCTCACTATCTAGGGAAATGAGATCCTCTCCCTGTTCTTTTTCAATTTTAGAAGCCTTGGTTAGATCTGAGGTGGCTATAGCCTTCTCCTGATATTGATCATTTTGCATGATCTGCTCTCCCTTAGCGACCATAACGGCAAGAGCTTCTGAATGGATATTTCATGCGGACTAAGCTTTTGTCCCATTATTACCCGTACTTAAAATAAAACATAGGTGAATACTTACCAGGATGTCTTCTCTTCGTCCTTCTTTGTTTTTTGCCAGCCTTTCTCAGGACAAGTCTCTGCCATCCCCTTCTGGACGAGTCTATGCCATCCCCTTCTGGATGAGTCTATGCTGTCCTTTCTCGGGATGATTCCCTGCCATCCCCTTCTGTTTTCTGCTGGCTTTTCTCACTTGCTCTGCACTGGAACCTTCCTCAGGAGCTCTTCACTAGATCCCTCGTACCCAGGTCCGTGTTCAGGCACCACGTGTCCCGACCTGGGGGACAGTCAAACAGGTTCCCTGAGGGAGGGAGTAAGAGATGGGACAAACACACACACACACGCACACACAGAGTGGAGACAATACGAGGTGCTGATCAAGTCTTCTTCCGTTTATTGAGGAAAAATGGTGAGTTATATACAGGCTGGTGGGCACTGATTGGTTGCCTGAAATGCAAATGAGATAGAACAGCATGAACCAATCACTGGTGTGAGTGGATCTCTCCCGTTGCCTAGAAACCCAACCACCCCCAGGAAGAACGGTTGGTCACATGATTTCTGAGAAACGATTTGCTCAGTGAGGAAGTGAAACCTAATGGTTTCCAAGATGGTGGATAGCTCAAGATGGCAGATAGCTCAAGATAGCTTCTGTATTCAGTGCCCGCCACAGTTATCATCACAAATAATTTTCCATTTCTTGTTTCTTATATACATGTATTCTTTCCCCCTAATACCCCCATTTCTCACCCTCTGCCATAGTCCACCTTCCTTCCACTCTACCTCTGGTTTGCTTTCCATTCCTTTTTTTTCCTCCCACAGTTCATTGGTTAACAAAATATCTTAATTGATCTAACTACTTTTAATAGCAGGTTCTAAATCTTCTCTTTTGGTTATTTTGAAATATACAGTGAATTACTGTTATCTTTAGCCACCCTACTCTACTATGGAACTTGTTCCTTCTATCTCACTGAATTTTGTATCTGTTAACCAGCAACTCCCCACTCCCCCTTATTTTTAACTCTTCTTCACCTCTAATAAGCTGAACTTATGTGTTTCAAATTTTTCATATGATTATTTTGGCAAAGATACAGCTAGAATAACAAGCAAGCCAAGTACAAGATCCTCATTCTAGACCAGTAGATGGTGTGATGGTTAAGACTCTAGACTCTCACACGGTCCACCACAGTTCAAGTCCTGGACCTGGGCTTGTTTTCTCACTTTCTCTTTCCTTTCTCTCTCTCTCTCTCTGTCTCTCTTTCTCTCTGTCTCTCTCTGTGAGCACACATGCCCTATAGCAAAAATTTTAAAACCAATAACAGGGACCAGCAGGTAGCAAGTGGTTAAGACACTGGACTTCCACATGGCCAACCACAGATCGAGTCCCAGACGCGGTGACTAGAAATGTGGGTGTGTGTGCCTGAAATCCCAGCAGGAGAATGGATTATGGGGTGGCCATCCCCCCTGGGGGGGTGATTCCTCACTCTCTCTCTGTCTCTGCAATAAGCCTATAGTAAAAATCTCTCCCCAAAATAATAATAATAAATTATAAAGATTTTAAATATCCTATTCTCTGATGTCATTTTCTTTTTAAAGCAGTTCTTTAGTTCTCTGACATTTGCAACATCACAAGGTTGTCTTGGAATTCTGGCATTACAGAAGCCTGTCAGGAATATGCTAACATCCTCATGTACAACTGAGCAGATGTCACATTCTAAATCACAAGGATGACATTCCCATAGAAAACACTCATCAGAGCACAGAGAAGCACAAGAGAAGTAGCCAGCATTAGGCAACAGGTAGCAAGTACTCCTTACCTACCATGGGACCCGCTTTACTCTGCTGTTGATCCACAATAGGAAAGGTGGAATCTCTGTCTAACGTTGATTTTCCAGGAGGTACATGTTTGAAATGGCCAAGGATAAAAGGGGGGTGGGGTGGTGTATAAGACGGCAACATGGCAAGCCCTGAGTTAACAGAGGCCATTGTCTCGGCCTCTCTTCCTGTCTCAAGGGCTCTGTTTGATGGACAGCTAATATGAAAGCCAAAGAGAGAAAGCAAAGTAATCTTATTGGGAAAAAAAATATGGAAAAGGAAACCTCAAAGAGTGTCAGAACACAGAGTGGTCAGAGGTCTAGCCCTGAGGTCCAGCTTAGTTGGCTTCAGTACTTACTAGCTGGCCATGTAGTCATGGGCTGGCCACATACCTCTCTAAACCTGTTTTCCTATCTATACAATGAGGATTTCCTACCCTTGTGACAATGAAGAAGATAATAATTGCACTTAAGCCTTATCAAGCCTGATTGTAACAGCTTCAGACCTGATACCTAAAGAGTAAACGGTCGGTGGATTTTAAGTGACTATTAGG